AAGAATGATAATGATTTATTCTTATTAAGATTAGCAACAGTCCATATCCGCTTTAGTGTGCACAAACTGGATTTGATCTCATATGGTTGCTATAGAGGGCAAGCTATGTGGCATCATCATCATCCCAATAATCTACACAATAATAACAATCAATAAAATAATGTATTGTTAGACTTTAAGACTCTTTGCCCAAGGTTCATGTTAACCTATTACGTTTGTGGTTTAACAGATCATTAGTCAATTAACACATTCTCAATTTCAAACAGTTAATATAAAATATCCATGGTTAATATTTGCTAACTTCACTACGTAACACAAGTGCGACTCAATATTTTACAGGTAACAACTGCTCATTTAACTCGCTAAACAATGGCTTCAGTGTATTAGGTCATGCTCAACTTAAGAAGATACAGTGAGATTTTATTTCAACAACAGTGATGCTCACACAATGCAGACAACTGCCACGCATGCTCCATAAAAACTCCACAAAATTGGTATTGTAATGTTACTGGCAAAACAACCAGGCTCTTCGTCTCATACCTTGACGATAACTGCTTTGCGCCCGGCGTAGCGTCCAGCTAGCACCATCACCACCTTCCCAGGCTTCATGAACTTGCCCATTTCTAACCAGAGAGAAAAACGTATGAAACATATATTAAGGGGGAAGGTATACGCAGAGCATGTTATGACAACCAAGAAAATGTCAAAAACTACTGTACGAATGTAAATGGATGAGTGTGGCACTTGTATTACTGTCACGAATGTAAATGGATGAGTGTGGCACTGACTACTGTTCAATCTAGTATTAGCACTCACGTAAAAGCTTTGGTTTCAAGATTGTGTTTTTAATGTGCTAAACCTACATTTTATACCTTAAACACACAAAGTACAAAATTTTGAGTTCGGGGTGACAGACGAATGTTTTCAACGCTTCACAAATGATTCACTAAAGAACTGAAGATGCCATGTTAGGAGAGACGATGCTAAGGTGGCGACGACGAATCACTAATCTTCTGCGTTTAATTATAGTCTGAGGAAAAAAACATCCATATATCTAAATACCTAAACAGCACAAACATTATATACAAGCGCGATGTTGTAAAACGATAAATAAGCACGGATTAAGATGATTTTAGAGGATTGTGAGTACGATATTTTCACTTACTGCTGCTATTCAGCTACCGCCGCTAACAGGAAAGGAAGTACGTAGGGTTAGGATCAACTTTAACCCAGTCACGTTAACGTCACTTCCGCAAAACTGAGCTATAGTTTTGTAGTACGCCATTGTTTAAAAGTTATTCCGAACCGCTTTTTTTCCCTATAAAATACGAGCTAGTGTTTTGGTTTTTTTTTACAAGGAATTAAAAAACATTATTTGTTGATTTGGATATTTAAAGGATGCTTCGGGCTGTGTTGGCAAACTTAACCACTAAGACTCCGATTTTGTTCAGATGCAGCAAAGATGCCTGTCAGATTTGTATTCCCAATTTGTATGATTTGTCTACTATGAATGCGCATAAAAGCAAAACCAATGGAATACACAATCGCTTATTCAACCCTACAAAATCAGTATACCCCTGGAGAAAGAGAGTATTTTTCATGAAGTTATACATTTCATTTATTTCAACTATACAGCAAATGTTGTGTAGCCTATATAAACTTCCAGAACGCAGTTCAATTATGACAGCGCGTGTTTTCACTTGTAACGGTCGGAGGAAAATTGAGATGCCATGTTGAGGAAAATTGAGGGCATTTCGACAAATCGACGAATGTACTAATTTAACGATTTTCGTGTGTACGTGTATACCTCGTGTATAACGATTTTCGTGTGTACGTGTATACCTCATGTGGCCTACACGCATGATTAAAAAGAAAATAAAAAAAAGTACATTAATCAAAATTTCCTCCACGATTAAAATCACTCAATTGCGCATGTTCCTACAAACTTTAAATTAAGCATATGTCTGAGTAAAAGTAATCAATAATGGGGAAAAAACAAACTGTATTACATAATTAAGCTAAGTGAAGATACTTGCAAAGTAGGTTAATCTATTAAAATGAATACTTGGCATACCTACACACATTGACCCACCAATGCAGATCATTCTCATCCACAAAAACAAAACAAAAAAACAAACATTGGGAAATTATCTGGAATCACCTGGAATAATACATTACGAATGGGTATGTATGGTTTTGTTTTAGGTATCCTGTGTCCTTTACACATAGAAATGAAACTTACAACTGTATCATTATTTTAAAGGTCTCTGAATGCGACCTGTGTCAAAAGATTGGTCCACCTTTGAAACCCATTAATACACTGGATTGCATTAAGTTACCACAATTATCAATATATTATTTCTTTTAATGTACTTCAGTATTTGTTCAGTGTAATTAAATATTGTTTTATATTACTGACAGGTCCACTCCCTAAAACATCGGCTGCCGTTCAATCAGAGGTGGATAAAGTGCTAAAAAAAAATGTAATTAAATAAAAGTATCTTTACTTTGCTTAAATTGTACTCAAGTGTATCTACCTAAAAATCTACTGAAGTACAAGTAATCTAATCACATCCTTTACATAAATAATGCGATATTTTACAGAGCATGCTGATGATAGACTAAAACACAACCCCTATTCATTTAATCAAAGTAGTAAA